GGAAGGAGGTGCAGCCTGGACTTCGCCACTAAGAGAAAACCCTGTTGAACCATTCCGAAGGGGAGTATTTCTCCTGGAACTTGAAGAAGAAATTGCACAAAGTGAGTCAAAAAATTGCAAAACAGGATTTTTTGAATACTCTGTTTCTGTAGAATTGAAGAGTCCAGCTAACTCCTTCAGGGGCTGGGCATCATCTGGACAACAGTCGCGGATGCGGGGGCAAGTCCCTTGCGGATCCTCGAGCGGATCATTGTGCTTATTGCGGATGACAGAGTCGATCCAGGGAAGAGAAAACTTCCAGACTCGGAAGAACAGGCGCACAGTCGGCTCTCACCATCAAGATATCGATTAGTAGATGTGTATCACTCCCGCACTGATGGGGTTAGGATGGTGAGCCAATCAAGTTCGCTGAGAAATGACAATATAAGCTTCGTGAGAGGAGGTTGGGATCGGTCGAGAAGGTCCTCTCCTCATCAATCAATGAGTGCATCCCCCAAATGCCCAAAAATGGAGCGCCAGATGGAAGGCGAGGCATATAGTAGTCGTCTCTGACGAAGAGGAAACGCATCCATATTCCATAAGTGCACGAACAAGTGACCCAGGACATCATCGGGAAGGCCGTTTATCGGAGAAGTAGAATGTGGGGTGGGGGAAGGGCTATAAAGCCTAGGGATACCGCCGCTCCCGCCATGTGAGTGACCATCGGAGAGGCGCATGACGAATCACTTATGCTATCAAGAGCCATGGTTTAGTGCATGCGATGGTCTTGGAAGTGTGAAGAATGGGCCGACGAGAAAATTAGGTGAACAAGTTGCGACCTTTATAAATGGTCCACGTCGCCAGGTTGGCAGAGAAACTAGTAGACAATCGCATTCTATGCGTAGCACAAGTCTGGAGATTATAATCACGATTTTTCTTTTCTTGTAAGAAAAATATAAAAAAACAAGATTGTCAAGCCAAATCTCTCGTCCATGTTCTTCTTCTGGACTTTGAAAGCTACAAAACGCCGTGGTGCTGACAAGATAATTTGAAGCTCCACACTTTATGCTTCAGCCTTCTCCCTGCACTCGACATACATTTTTCTAGCAACAGATCCTATGCGTGGTGAAGTTGGAACAGCTACAAATCCCTTCCTCGATGTGCTACCAAAAACGAGAAAGAGCAGGGTAGAGCTTGCAGAGACCATTAAATCAATGAATGACATGGGCATTCTACCCCGTGGCCTAGGGAGCATCAATATCATCAATATCATATGTCGTCCAAAGATCGTCTGCCCAAGCTTCGACTCTCGGGGCCACAACCGACCCATACGTGGGGTCGTTATCTGTATCCAAAAATAATGCTTGTTCGAAAATGCGATGAACTGTAGTGAGCTGTCTATATAGATGTAGAGAGTAGGGAGGCGACCATCGACCATGCTGTATAGTACAATGCATGCGATCCTGAATAATCAAGAAAATGCCGGTCGGTAGATATAAAAACCGATGAAGAAAGAGTAATTAAATTAAACATGATAGAGAGACAGAGGGCGAATATGCGAGAGGACAGCGATTAATTTCGAGATCGAGCTTCGGGGTTGGGGGTTCATGATACCGTTACGGCGGTGGGCTGGTCTAGATGGGGCGTTACTAAGGGTGAGTCTGATGTGTCTTTGGATATTGAGACGTTTGCGAGCTTTTCTTCTAGTGCGGTTTCGGATGAGGATGGGCTGCGGGGTGGGGTATTATGTTAATAAGGCAGATTAATAACGGGAGCACGGAAGGAACATACGAAGGGACGCTCTCGTCTGTGGTTGGTGTTTCTTGAGTTGATGGTGCACCCGCCTCCCCTTCTATTTTTTGGTAGCGTGTACCGTCAGGGGCAATGTCACAGGCACTTGGCATTCAAAAATTGGTTAGTTCGGGTCCGTTACTAAAACGAAAGACTAACGTACGCGACGATTTGATCCCAGTAACTCTTCGCCTCAAATTCATAGCGATGCTCCCCACCGAAATCGGCGTCCAGCTGCTCCGGCGGGATGAGCTCGTTCAAATCTGGGTTGAAGCGCATCTGCACCAACCAATGTGTCAGGGCATGAATGGCTAACAGTGTGCGTGGCGTAAACGCGTGCGTACCTTGTCTCTCGTAACGGGATCCAAGAACGGGGAGATGCCTTTATAGAAGAAGCTAAGCAGCATGGGAAGGTTGACGACGAGTGCGCGCCCGAGCGTCTCGACATAGTGCTGCTGCAGGATATGCAGCACCTTGCGCGCGACGGAGATGGAGGGGTTCGTGCGCAGCGTCGTGGATTTGTAGTCCACGATAATCACGAGCGATTCTTGGCCGGAGGGCATGAGGTCTTTCGCGCGCTCGCTGTAGTGATGATTCAGTACGCGGACCCAGGTCGTGTGATCATGACAGACGTACAGACACCAGACGAGATGGCGCAGCTGCCGCGGCGACACCTCGGTGTTCTCGCGGCCGGGGCGCATGTATATTATAGGTCGACCATCTCTATCAAAGCCGTTGATGATGCTAGAATATATTGGGTCAGTCTCGGACACTTATGGAGGCCCGCC